GAGAGGGAACACGTCTGCAGAGGACTGAGAGAGCCATAGAAAACTCTACGAAAATTTAGATTCAAATATTCCAAGAGGGATTGTATGTGTATATGTCACATTCTAGGGGACTGGACACGGCACTGGGTGTGAGGAAATGGAAATAAAATTATATCATATCGCAGGAAGGGAAAGTCAAGACATAGGAAACGGAAAAAGCCGAGAAGAGAAGAGAAAAAGAACGTAAAACGAGGGAGGAGAAGAGAAGTCAGAAAAGAGTTATGTTCCCCTAGAAAGGATCGTGTAGAGAACTGTGATAGCAACCTGAGAGGGTAGAAAAGATGTGAGACAGAATGAACGAAGGAACGCAGAGCAAAAAAAGTAAGAGAGCTGAGGAAAAAAAAAAGAAAAAGGTCGTTATCCTTTCACAGAAACAAGGAGTAACAAATTAAATGAGATATAGAACTGAAGTTACAATGGAGAATGGTGGTATGTGTATAATCGAATAGACTACGATTTAGTAATGTAGGTTGGTAATCTGATCTTTTATTGGTGCATTTGTTATTCTTGAATGAATCTAAGGCATACGAGTAGTTTACCATGTGAAAAAAAAAAATTTTTAAATGTGCTAGCGAGAAAGGATAGAAGTTAGGACAATAGAAACTGATAGAATAAGGATAATAACGGATAATAGATTATGTAACAGATATCCTGACATTCAAGAAGGTGGTCCATTAATGAAGCAAGCACCTATAACGAGATTAAAAGTCAAACGAAAGGCATGGATAAGGATGAATCCGCTAGTACGAATGAAGAGGAGAAGGTAAGTAACCACTACATGCACTAGGGGGAAAGGGAGAAAAAGAAATTATATTGAGGAGTTGCAGTGACGTACGACGAACAAAAGGAGAGGGAAGGGAAGAGAGAAGGAAGTAGACACAACAACATAAGAATATACGATGAAAAGGATCGGTCGAGCACTAGCAAACAGGAAAACACAAACACACACACACAACAACAGAAGACAGCAAACAGCACCACGACACACGACACAACACACAAATAGAAGACAAGAAGACACACAGACACACACACAGGAGGGAGTAGAGATAGCATATAGATATGGTGATAAAGATATGGGTTTAAATATGTATATATGTAATATATATATGATAGTATAATGTATAAATGTATATATGTAAGTATATATATAATATATATATATAATAATATATATATATATATAAATATATATATATATAAGATAGTATTATATATATATATATATATATAGAGTATAAGTATGTATATATATATGTAGTATTATAGTGTATGTATATATATATATATAATATATATATAATATATAAATATATATATAATATATATTATAATATATATATATATATATATTATATATATAATATATAGGTATAATAGGTATATATATATATATATATATATACATATAGATATTTAATATAGTAATATATTATATATATATATATTAATATAATAATATATTATATATATATAGATATATTGTCATGCGCAAGAGAAAAACTGCGGAGGAATAACACAAAAGATATCCTATGACCTTTATCCATCATATAACTCATCCAGATACCCAATAATTCATTTCGTGCCATAGGGTGCCCAGGTGGCACTTGTTGCTGTGATGACACCTGGGATTCCTTGAGTTGAAAATCTCCATTTATGCTTATTTACACCTTTACTAGTAACATTTTCCTTAAAGGATAAATAAATACATCAATATGAAACAAAACATTTTATTTCAATGATTGTACCTGCAATGTACAATTACAGCAATTAAAGAACAATACTTCTAAGATAGCAGAAGAACGCATATATAATTTGTAAAAATAAATACATTTTCTTTCTGTAAAATGTAAAGAAAATATTCTATTTTCAGTTACTGTATACCTGCAATTCTTCATTAAGGCAAACAAGAAATTCTTCCATAAAATAGTAGAAAAATACTTAATTAATTAGAAAAAAATGTATCTTTCCCTGAAAATGTATATATAAATAGAATCATTGAATTATGAGTAAAAATAGTAAGCCTACTCTTTAGTTCAAGACTAGAATAAATTGCAGCACCTCTATAGGAAAATAAATCTTTTATGAGATTATTCTCTGGTTCAAGACTAAAGAAAATATCACTTCTATAGAATAATCCTATGCAAAATAATTGTTTTGATGAGGAACATATGCCATACTTAAAAAACAGAAAGCAAATATATCACTTATACATGAAACAAGAAGCAGTTTCTCTTTGCATAGTTGCAGAGAAATACATTACACTGAGAGCACAATGTTCGTGTTCTATTCTTACATCCTTCTCTGCGACATCTGCGGAAAGAGTTCTTACCATCAATGACTATTGGGAGATGAGATGCACCTTTCTTTCTTTCAGCCCTGTTTGGCAGAGGAGTCAAGCCCTGTTTAGCTGCCTTTAGAGGAGGGCAGTCTCTGAATCAATACAGTCTACTGAAGAGAGACTTGCATCAGAAATACTCTGACTGTCAGTGGCATGGTCAAAGAAATCACCTGACATTAACTGGTCTGCCAAGATTAATTTGAAGTCTAGATATTGTTTGGGTTTTGACTCCATATCCTTTCTGTATTCCAGCCAACAGTTGGCAGTTACAACATCAAGTACATGCAATACCACCCTAACAGTCCACTTCTTAGTGCGATTGGGGCTTCTGTAATAGCTGACTATTTGGTCATGAACATCCACACCCCCCATGGCACTGTTGTACTCCCTTACCACACGGGGCCTCTTTACACCAACATGGGTATTGGTAGCCTTAGACCACCGCTGGCATATATCTTCGTCATCAATAGAGAACTCATTGGAAGCCATTAGTACCAACTTTTTGTCATACCAAGCAGTCACAGCCACCTTGTTATCATTTCGGACTTGGCAATCGGATGCCCCTCTGCCCTCTTTGCGCAAGGTTGCCTCAGTCTTTAATATTTGCTAGCCTCTTTAGGTACCATGTTTTTCTTATTGTGCCTGTTCCTCGAAGGCCTCTGTCATACAGATCACACAATAAGTTTGAGCTTGTAAAAAATCTATCAAAAAAGATACTTGTGCCAGCATCCACACTGCGCACAAACCTTAATACTGCTGCTTCACCAGTTGTGAGGGTTCTGTCAGGTTTAACATTCAGCTTTTCAATAATGGATAGCAATGCTTCTTTTAGTTTGAAAAATTTCAAATCGAGTACCATTCCACTTGGAGAAGCTAGGACAAACATTTTTAACCCGTCTGGGAAAGGTTTGCCAGGGACATGTTGCCTGATACTGATTCTACCTCGAAAAGGAATCATGCTTTCATCAATACTGACCTTCGATGGCCTTGGCAACTCGCTGCAACGAGTTCGTACTGCTTCCAACAAAGGTCTTACTTTCCATAACCTGTCACTTTTTTGTCGTCTTCCAATACAGTGTTATCATTAATAACCTTTAACGAATGTCTGAGACGGAAAAATCTGTCTCTTGCCATTTTATCAGCTATCCAAGGGATCCTAGTTTTTGACTGCCAATACATTCTAATTCTTGGCATCTTTATGATTGACATAGCAAATGTCATTCCTATGAAAGTGGCAATTTCTTTGCTGTTTGTGTTAATACATGCACCTGTAGTTTCAATTGATTTCATATTTGTATACATTGCAATATCTCCCAAAAAATCCTCACTGACATAAGATAGGAAATACTCAATTGGTTTCAGTAAGTTACAAGCTCCTAAATTTTCTGTTGCATTCTGAGGAGCATGGTCTACGAAAGATTTATTTCGTAGGTAAAACAATCTTCTTGGCTCCCCAGCAGTTGAAGATACAGATATCTCCTGGAGATCCTCTTCAGAATCCGAGTCCGAAGAAGTGACAGCTTCTTCAACTCAATTAGTCTCCCAGATGACGTCACTGCCTCGGGTAGCCAGTCATCATCACTCTCACTGAAGTCACTTTCATCAAGGAGATCCAGAAAAGACCTAGTCTGTGATTTGCCATCTCCTGTATGGGAGTAGTTGCTCCCTGTAACAATATAATAGTGCAGAGATGCTATGAGACAAACGTGATGGCTCTGTTCTGCCTAAGCTGATTAAGATGAAGTTGTACATTGCCATGTGTTTTGTCTTGGAAATTATTGGAAAATTCTAGCATTAATCAGAATGGCAGAAATATTATCATACTGATACATTATAAAATGCAATGCCCCACCTCTTCTTAAACGTGCAGCATCAGTTTGTCGAGATATAGATGGGCCTGGTTCACTACTGTAGCTTCTTGATGATGGTGCACCACCTACAAAAGAATTGTATTTAAGATAATTTGCATCACTAGTTAGTTCAAGTTCGTCAAATAAGGTTACCATCACATAAAATTAATAGTATCACAAATTTGCAGGTATTAAAACAATGGACATGCATGATATCCCACCAGGTGAGGAGGTTGACTCACCAGCCTCTTGAGATGTACTTGTGGGGTCATCATGCTTCCTGACAACTGATGGTTTGTCACCTGCAAAAGTAATAATTTTTTATTAAATGTTATAGTTACCCCTTTCACACATTCCTGTAAGACCCAAGTGTCACAAGGATGATCGGTGTAATCGTAGGTCACATCAACATCTATTTTTTCCCATTAATAAATAACAAACTTTGACAAAACTGTCGGGAAAATGCCCCAAGACTTTCATTATCATATCAGCATTGGAATTTCCGTCAATAACCAACAAATATCAAAGTATTTAACAAAAATCCAAAAAGTAGACGAAATTTCAGTCGGAAAAGTCCCGAGAGCACTTATATGATACACTTTTATTTTGCTTGTTTTTGCTAATTTTACACCATCATATTTAAGCACGTCAAGCACTTACAATGAGAACTAAGGTTTAAAGTTCAATAAAAAAAGCATGTTAAACTTCTACACAAACTGTACGAAGAAAAAAAGGAATATTTACCAGAGCTTGTGGATCTTAGTTTACGA